CTGGGTACATGGAATAATGCTCCATGGATTTCAAGAGACCTAAAAAGGTTATTAAGGAAAAAGAAAAGACTTTATAATTTATACAAGAAAACTAATAACCCAGCGGACAAACAGAAATATCGCAAATTCCAAAAACACGTCAAAGAGAAACTACGCAAACCTCAAGATGATCACATAGCAGAGTCATTAAATATTGACCCAAAGGATATACCCAAGAGGTTTTGGTCTTACATAAAGGCAAAGAAGCAAGATCAGATTGGTATTCCACCTTTGAAAAGTGATTCAGGTCTTAAAGTCTTTCTAAGGCTGAAATTCTAAATGCTCAATTCCAAAAAGTATTTACACAGGAGGATGYATCATCAATCCCTAATAAAGGCCCCTCTAACATATCTGCTATGGGTCAAATCATCTTTGATGCTGTTGGTATCAAAAATMTACTTCAAGGCCTTAAGAGTAAAAAGGCGTATGGCCCTGACAATATGCCCACAAGACTTATCAAGGAGACTGCAACTGAAATCTCTRAAGTGGTATGTTTCCTATTTAATCAGTCTTATAGGTCGGGTCGACTTCCCTCAGATTGGTGTAAAGCTAACATTGTACCAATATTTAAGAAAGGCAAGAAACAAGATCCTAGTAACTATAGACCAGTATCACTTACTGTAACCTTATGCAAAGTAATGRAGCACATTATCTATCGGAACATCATGCAACACTTGGAGCACAACAACATCCTATATGCAAATCAACATGGTTTCAGAAAGAACCATTCCTGTGAAACTCAACTTCTGTCCACTATTGAAGACCTTGCAAAGAATCTGGATGATGGCGCTGAAATTGATCTCCAAATTTTCGATTTTAGCAAAGCATTTGACAAAGTAACCCATCAGCGARTACTCTCGAAGCTGGATTATTATGGAATTCAAGATAAGACACTTGCTTGGATTAATTCGTGGCTTACAGGGAGATTTMAACGTGTTGTTGTAGATGGAGAAGCATCTAGCCTAGTGAAGGTTACTTCTGGGGTACCTCAAGGTACTGTCCTAGGTCCTCTTATGTTTTTACTGTTTATAAATGACATTCACGAGAACCTGAATAGCAATCTTAAACTTTTTGCTGATGACGCACTACTATACAGAACAATAAATACAGTGAATGACGGTATCATTCTTCARAATGATATTGACAAATTAGCAGCCTGGGGTAGATCATGGCAAATGCAGTTCAATGTTACTAAATGCCACACAATGAGAATAACCAGAAAGAAAGAACCAGTACTGATCGATTACTACATTGATGGTAGAAAGCGTTCTCCAGTTACAAACCACCCGTATCTGGGAGTGTTGTTATCAAGTGATCTTAACCCTTTTACCGCCGAAAAATTGTGGTTAAATTTGACTGTTTTTAAGGCAGAATGATTTAAAAATGATTTCGGGACTAATCTTAAGGTTGTCAAGGAAACAGCTGCTGTTCGTGATAACTGAAGGCTTACTTTTGCAAGGGATGCCTGTAAGATTTTTGCTCGTGGCTTTGACTAGCAATCAGCTCGTTCAAAACACAGGAAAAATCGGTTTTTAGGTGTTTTTGAAGTCAAGTTCTCGCACAAGAGCCCCTAGACTTGCATCATAAAGCTTGACTATTGTGGCAGAAGCGATCTTCTGGAAGAAATCAGAAGTGGGAAGCGATTTTACGAAGAAAATGGCGAGCAACCGTTGATTTGTGTAAAATGGCGCCATTTGAGTGAAGTCGTCTCCCTGGCTGTCTTGTGCTTGACTTCGCAACCTACCGTGTATATTTTTGCATGTTTTGGCTTCTAAAAAGAGGAATCTACTTGAMATTTTCCTGGTAGGAGCGAATGACTCGACACTTAAAGAAAATTTTAAAATGGAAAGTGTGGGGTACTTTCTGTCCAAAAAATTCACCGTTACCCAGAATTCTTTGCAAGCGAAGTATGGACCCTAAAGAAAGAGCTCTTTCTCGGCTTGTTCAATGAAAATGGTTACAAAAGACACATCAATGCAAAGTAGAAGGGCTGAACTTTCTTTCAGATGTTGTATTTTGGCATGATTGAGGGATTTTTTGCAGTAACTAACGTCGAAAAGCGTGCAGCCAGATTTCGCCCTCAATTAAGGGACCACATTCACCACAAAGTAACCCTATGGTGCTTATTTTATGAATTAGCAGCTGTATAATTTCACGGACAACCCAACCAAAACATAATTAGTTCATTTGCTATGCAATTAATAGAATAATATTTTTTTTAAAGAGAGGCATACGTCGACGTCGACAAATGTCGACAATGGCGGTGAAAGGGTTAAATGGAATACCAATGTGAATAATATAGTAGCTAAAGCTAACAAGTCATTAGGCTTTGTGAAACGTAACTTATATTCTTGCACCGAAAGAACAAAGCGCACAGCTTATGTATCTATTGTAAGACCTACHTTGGAGTATGCAACTGCTGTTTGGGATCCATACAGACAAGAACAGATCGATGCTATTGAAGCCGTCCAGCGGCGTGCAGCTAGGTTTATTAAAARCGATTACAATAGGTCTTCTTCTGTAACTGAAATGCTTAAGTGTTTAGATTTAGATCAATTGCAAGACAGACGTAAAGTCCATAGATTAAGTGTATTTTATTTAGCCATTCAAAATTTAATTGCATTACCTATACCGAATTACTTTTTACCTAAACAGCGTTTTACTCGATCCTTTTCCAAAAATTCATTCATCCAACCAGGTTGCAAGAACGATTACTATCTTTTTAGTTTTTTTGTCCTAGAACAATAAGGGACTGGAACTCTCTTCCAAACAAAATTACGAGTGCTAAGTTTTTATCTTTTCAGGACCTTTGTGTCTCTTTTATTAGGAATGATTAACTCATCATCATTATTTATTTATATATTCATTATTTAGAATTAGAATATATATGATATCAAAGAGGCAAGATTTTGCTGTAACTCCGACTTTCGTGCTACGCACTCATCAGACAGTATTTAAATTGTTGAATTACACTAATAACAAGCAGACATTCAATATGCAGAGTAAATCATTATATTTAAATTGCCAAAACATATAGAAAACATATATCATTATTTAGCATGAATTGTTTAAACTATCATTATAACTATCTAATCTATTGTCGGTTAAAATAAAAATGTATTGATTGAATATGAAATAAATTATAACAAAATTGCTAGATAACAATCCATCCTTTAACTGCCTATAGGTTATACTGTCATCTTTATTATATGTATACTGGCCTTGGTCACCGGCGATAATATGTCAGCAATTGACGAAGACTCGTGTGTAATATGTAGGCGTGCATTTAGCAAAGAAAAAAATATGTAACTGTAACAAAAAAGGGGTTGTTGACTCTTATTGCCTACAGTGAGAAGCGAGATTTGGTAGATCTAAAAGGTTATCTAAATGAACGTATTAGTACAACACCGATTGGAAAGGTGGTGGTACATGTAAATTGCCGAAGAGATTTCACGGACCAGAAACGATTGCTTTGTAGTAATGTAGAGGAGCCTTCTTCCAAAAAGTTGCGATCGAGCTTGACGCCTTTCATTTGGAATTAAAATTGTATGTTTTGTAGTAAACACGCACAAGTTTATACTCGTCATCCTGAGAGAGCGAAAGTATACCAAGTGACAACCCTCCCATTCCGTGATAAACTTCTAGAGTGCTGTCAAAAGAGGGGAGACCCATGGGCAGCTGAAGTTCAAAATCGACTTCATGGATGTATTGATTTAGTTGCGGCTGAGGCCATCTATCATGGCAATTGTTACTCGCGGTTTATACTTCTTAAAAATGTTGACGCCAAAACAGACAACACGATTAAAGGGAGACCAGAAGATGAAGAAATGAAACGGTTGTTTGAGATGCTATGCAATTGGCTGGAATCTGAAGGTGATGCTGATTTGTACACTCTTTCTGAATTACATGATAAAATGACGGGGTTTAGTGGCGGATCAGATGTCTATACAACCAAGAGACTCAAACAAAAGT